CCTGCCATGTGGCCACAGCCATTTGTAAAGTGTTCCATGTCGTTCTGTGGTTTTAAGTATTAGCCAGCTACTCGCTACCGATTTCTGTACTTGTCTCTTTAGCTCTGAGTTCTCCGTCTGTGTGTTCCACAGCCTTTAGGCTCATCACATTCAACTTGAACTCACCGTCTTCCCTCCCCATTCCACCCATCTTGACAAGGCCACCCTGCCCTCCCAGGTCCAGCCCATCCAGGCTCCAGGTCCAGCCAGCTCATTGCCTAAGTGGTTCTTGAGTCCCTTGGCCTCTCCCGGGCCCCCTTGAGCCATGCCCTGCACCGCCAGCAGGTGCACTCGGCTGCTCTAAACCCTTCAGAGGCTCCCTGTGGACCTCAGGATGAAGCTCCACTCAACCAGTACTTAGGGGCCCTTAGCCAAGAGGCACCTGCCTAAGTCTCCAACGTCATTTGTCACCCTCCTCCCACCCCGGAACACCATGCTTCAGCACCCTCACTATATCCAGCTTGCCAAGGTGCTCTCTCCTGCTTCTCTCTGCCTTTGGTCACTGAATTTCTCCACCTAGAGGGCCCTTCCTCCCTGGGAAACTCCACTCAGTTCTCAGCCTAGGAAGCCATCTGTGACCACCTCCCCACCAGTTCTGCTCAGAGCCTCTTCCCCACAGCTGCAGTTATGAAGCTGTGTCTTTGCTTTCTGTTGCATCCAAGTGTGTCCCCCTTACTCTGGAGGACAGCTTGTGGGACAGGGCTTACATCCCTGGTTGCTGCTGCACTGGGCCCAGCACATACACACAGAGGCAATGAGCGAATGAGAGCTGGGTGAAACCAAGGACTTTAATCTTCTCAGCGCTGCTCTTGGCACCCAAACAAGTCCTCAGCTGCTGTCGGGTAGTCTTCTTCTCTTGTATTTTTATCTCTGCCGGCTCTGCCTCCCGGCCAAGCTCTGACCAGCCCTGCACTGTCCTTTCTGCCCTTCCTCATACCTCGTCTCTCTGGCCAGGTGACCTGGTTAGTGGTCCCCAGACTGTCCCAGGACTTCCCACCCTTTCCAGATTGCTTGTCTTTTTCTTCCCTCTGAAACTTGCCTTCTAGTCGTGATTTCCATAAATTTTGCACATTTAATTCCCAGATGCTGCTCACTTCTAGCATCCCAGTTTGAGCTAAGCCCCCGAAGTAATTTAGGTAACAGCTCAATTATCTCATCTCTCCTTTCCTCTAATCTTTCCATTTCCATCACCACCTAGGAAGCAGTGAAAAATGAGATAAGCGATGTGTTTTCTCCCCAGACCCGCTTCTCCCCTAGCAGTTCTTATCTCAGTTCGTGTCATCTGCATCCACCCAGTCGCCTGAGAGCCAAACCTCAGAATCACCATCTGCTCCTTCTTCCTCCCTCTCCTGTTTTCAGGAAGTCTCCAAGACAGTCTGCTTTCCTAGGGAGGAGTCTCTCAAGTGCTGCCTTCACTGGCTATAAGACCACAACCTGGGCCTCATCATCCCTTTTCTGAACTAAGATGACCTCTTGGAGGGTCCTCCTGCCTCCAGCCCCGGTCTGGGCCCACATCACCCCTCCCTCCATCCTTCAATCTGCCCTAAAACATCCTTCTGAAACACACTTGGCTCTGTCATACCTCTGCTTAAGTAACATCCATGACTCCTTGGCACCTACAGCAGACACTCTTAACTCTGGCTGCACCACAGAATCTTCTAGACTGTGTTTAAAAAATACCAATACCAAATGTATCCCCGGAGAGGCTGACTTCAATGGTATTGGATGGGCACCTAGGTCTTGGTGTTTTTAAAAAACTTTCCAGGTGATTCTAATGTGAAGGACAAGCTGAGAACTACATAGCCTGGAAGAAGACATCCCAACCCTTTAGCCTGACAGTGCCTGAGAGGTGTAAACAGTGGCACCCAGACATGAGGCCGCAGCAGAGATGTTCAGGCCAGGTTTATTGAAAGGGGAGGGTGACCTGCCTGGGCAATGCAAAGATGGCGTCTGTGCCTGGGGGATAGTTGATGACCCCTTTTATCTGGGGTTGTCAGGGGTGGGCACATTGCATAGCTAGGCTGTTACATTAGAGTCTTTTGTCTAGAACTTCTAGGGCATGGGGCTAGCCAGATCCTTTGTGTCTTTGTCTTAGGAAGAGAGGAGGAGGAAGGGAGAAGGGTTTATGTGTGGCTGTGTTAGGCCCTCCCAACAGTACCCCCTTCTATCGACCCTTAAACCGTTTCCCATCCTGCAATCCTCCACAAGTAGACTTAGAATTCCGCTCTCCTGAGAGAAATCACTATAGCTGTACCCACAGTGCTCTCTATCTAAAATTCCATCTTCTCTTTGCCCCTTGACCATCCAGAAAACTCCTACTCATCCTTCAAGACCCAGTGCAAATATGAGCTTTTCTCATGGATCTCTCTTCCATGCTGTCTACCACATTGCTGGGCACTGGGTGTTATGATTGCAACAGAAACAGTCCCTGCTTTTGAAGAGCTCACAGTAAGGAGCATGGCGAGGAGCGAGGGCTGGAAAGCCCTCAAGGTGGAAGTTCTGGAACATGAGCATGCAACCAAATCACTGGGAGGGCTCGCTGAAACACAGGCACAGGGCCATCTGATTAAGTGGTCTGGGGTGGCCTTGAGAACTTGCATTTCCAACAAGTTCCTAAGTGATGCTTATGCTGCTGGTTCAGGGACCACACTTTGAGAACCATTGCTTTCATGTGTGGCCAGGGCAGTGCTTTCTAGGCAGGTATGATTGTAGCTGAACCAATAGGAGGAGAAGGAAGAATCATGAGAAGAGCAGGGGCTAAGGTAGTACAGGTAGAGGGAAGAGCTTGCATGCTTGAAGGCCCAGAGGGAATGGAAGGAACTCTGTGCCTGGTGCCCAGAGCCCTCTAGAAGCTTCTCCAGCAGAGCTGCTGCTCTGTGTGGGTCTGTGTCTTAGATCTGTGCCACCTTCCATGGTAATTCTTTTCTTCTGCCTCAGCCACTTGACAGTGAGCCCCTCCAGGGCAAGGTCTGTGACACAGCCACCTTTGGGTATCCGGAACCCACCCAAAGCCTACACTGTAAATGCTGAGGGATTCTGGCTGAGTTTTCGTGTTCTGGCTTTTTTTCTGGGCTAATAAGCAAAGGAGAAATCAGTTTCTCCTACAGGGCGGTGTGTCTTTAGGCTTAATCTTCCTCCCTCTTCCTTAGACAGTCCCCAGCATATCCATCCTCTATCTAAACCAAATTCCTGCATCTAGATACACTTTTAAGCCCATTTGGTGACAGAAAATTCCTCTGAACGGTCCCAAGCCTCAGGACTTGGGAAGGATCATAGCCCAGAGGCCCTTGGGACTGTGCCAGATAGCATTTCCACCTTGCTTTGGGGAAATGGATGTGGTCAAAGTGGGAATCAGAAGAATCGCCTTTGCCAAAAATGGTGGTAGTGGGAGGCTGTGTTTCCCGAGAAAGCAGCCAGCTCCCGAAGGTGCACACACTCAGGACAGGTAGAATAGGCGGGCTTGTGGAGAGGGAAACCAGAGCCAGGCACCCCTGCACGGTGGATGGATGGAAAGGCTCTTCCCTGCCTTTCTAACATCTCTTTCCACGCTGGGAAGTGGAGAAAGGGAGAGACTCAGGGTTGGAGGACAGGAACTCACATACTCTTTGTGGCAGGATGGGGTTATTGGTTTGATCTTGATTTTGTTTTTCAATTTCCCTTCCTCTTCCTTTCCTGAGCCTAACAGGCGGGTCTTTGCAAAGTACAGTCTCCAACTTAATGACGGTTTGGCTTACGACATTTGGGCTTTACCATGGTACAAAAGCAGCATGCTTTCAGTATACCATGTTTTGAGCACTCACATAACCATTTCAGTTTTCATTTTAAGTACAGTGTTCAATAAATGACATGAGCTGTTCAAAACTTTTTTATAAAATAGGCTTTGTGTTAGATGATTTTGCCCAACTGTGGGCTAATGTAAGTGTTTTGAGCATGTGTAAGGTAGGCTGGGCTAGGCTATGCTGTTCAGTGGGTGTATTAAATTCATTTTCAACTTAGGATCAACTTACAGTAGGTTCATTGAAATGTAACCCCATTGTGAGTTGAGGAGAGGGCGTATAGGAAAGAGACGGGTCTTCTCTGGTTTCATTAGTGTCCAAAGCTTTGGGAAACACTGGTGTAAGTCTCCACTGGTGCTCAGACGTGAGAGCTTTGGATTCCCCTGGAGGGCTCGTGCACCCCTGCGAGGTGCACCCCAGGGTGTTAGATTCAGCAGGCCTGCTGTGGGACAGGAGCGTCTGCATTTCTAACAAGGTCTCAGGTCGTGCTGACGTTGCTGGTCTGGGAGGCGCACTTTGAGAACCTCTGTTCTGGCATCACACCCAGCTAGCGAATGCTGAGACTGTATCAGGCACTGAAGGACAAAGGTTTATTTGTCTTGGCTCTACTTACTTAGATTTTCTTTAATACCTTCTCCTGAACAGACCCTGAGCTCTCCAGACCCCTCTCCTACCACCCTATGGAGAGGCAAAGGCAGGTGTTTCTAAGAGGCGCGAGACAGAAGCCCATCCATGGGGAAAGATAAATGGGTTAAGGGCCTGAGAAGATTCCAGGGAATAGAGGAGACAGCCAGGGAAGAGAAAGTGTCCACATTTTGTTCCATTGCATAGATCTAGAAATCATACAAATATTTCCAACAAAATAGACTTAGTATTACTTACTGCTGGGGGAGGCAGCTTCTTCCCAGAAAGAAGGGGTACATGGAGCAGTGCTGCCTTCAGTGGGGTAGTGGAAGAAGGGCTTAGGACTTAAAGACCTGGGTTCTGGCCCCAGGCTGCTCTGTGACCTTGAAGGATCACTTTAGCTATTGTAGCCCATTTCCTCAGCTGTAAAAAGTATAAAAATAAAACCAACTTTGAAGGGGTGCTCATGAAGATCAAAAGAGCCAATCCGGGTGACAACATAAACCACTATGTGGATGACCATTTCAATGTAGCCAACCTGGGCTGTCTTGGTTTCCACAGGAAGGACCAGTACCTCCTCTCACCTGTGAACTGTTGGTATCTGGTTCTGCATCAGACCCGGCGGGAAAGCCGAGATCATGCCACCCTCAATGACATCTTCATGAACAATGTCATCGTCCGCCTCTCCCAGATCAGTGAGGATGTCATCAGACTCTTCAAAAAGGTGGGCAAGTGGACAACCCCACCTGTCCCAGTTTCTGCCATGGGATGCGGGTGGCATGTGGTCTGGGGACAAGGGACCAGGAAGGCAAGTGTATTGAGGTTATAAAGGGCCAAGGGCTGGACTTGGCACTCAGCCCTGAGTTTGAACCCTGAATATTCCTTAAGACTATGTGGTCTTAGCTACTTCAGCAGCCACCCACAGAAATAAAAACCTTTTCAAAGTTAGGTAAGTAGTATACATTCACTGCAGGAAATTGGAAAAATGGAGATGAGCATAAACACAAAAATTAAATCACCTTAAATATTATCACTCAGAGATAATCACTTTGATGTCCTAGGAATTTCTTCTTTATATGTACACACAAATACAGTTTCTATGAGTGCTTATGTGTATTTATACATTTTTTCTAGTGTACACATACATTTTTCCAAATGAGATCGTGCTGCATTTAAGATTCTACTGATTAAGTCAACTTAAAATTATATAGCACTATTACAAAAGTTTTGCATGTCAACAGATAGATTTCTATAACCTTTTGAATTATTGCCTAGTATGTCATTATATAGATATACCCTAATTTATTTAACTGATCTCTCTTATTGTTGAACATTTTGGGGTTATTTATGTTATTTTATTTTTATGAAGAATCCTTCTGTGAGTGTCTTTGTCACACCCACTGTTAAGTTTCTTAGGATCGGTTCCTGCAATGGGAATTTTATCGTCAAAAGTTTCCTCATTTCTAAGGCTTTTGACCGAGTACTGTGTTGTTTTCAGAAAGATTTACTCATAAAAATGCCAAGAACCCAAGCGTGGAAGCAGCATTACTTCTAACGTCCCCCAAGGTTTCTGAGCTCCTGGGACATTGCTAGGCAGCTATGAAAATTTCTGTCAGTTTGCTGTCTGTGAAATGGGCCAGTCATTTAGCCTTTGAGAACCTCGTCCTCTTTGTCTATCCACTGGGATTAAGGTCAGCTACTTCCCAGGGGCAATGTGAGAGTTAAATACATGGGGCCCATGAAGGAGGAGGTGTTACTGCAAAGTGGTTTGGGGTCTTAAATTCTGGACTCTGGTTCCTAGTCCTGGTTCCATCATTAATTGGCCGTGTGTCTTGGGGTTTGTTAGTTCAACTCTCTGTGCCTGGTTTCCTCGTTTGTGAGATGAGGATAGGATTAAGAGGGTTGTCATCCCCGCTTACAGCCTGGCAGTTAGTAAGCACTCACTGAAAGCTGGCCATTATTATGCAAATGTGTGTGTGTCTGTGGGGGGGACACTATTGTTACTAAAAGAATCCAGCTCATCTCTTCTTAGCAATTTAGGGGTTTGGTGACCTGGGATTGCTAGAAGCACAGGGAAAGGGACAAGTTGATTTAAAATATAATCATCTCTCCATGGTCTGTGTTTGAATTGTCCACTTTGAGGATTACTTTGATAGCAAAATTGTAATCTCGGGCTAATTTCCTCCTGCTATACAATATGCCTCTGGTTTTCCCTTGGGGCCATGTTTATGAAATGTGGTCTAAGTTTAATATTTGCGTAAGCAAACATAATTAGGAAGGTAAATACAGTGCAAGAAAAAAAAAAGTACGCAGTGCTTTGCAAAGCCAAACTGCAGCGATTCAGACATGTGCAAGTTTGGGCTGCTGGTCCCATTCCCAGCCCCCGCCTGCTGCTGCTGTCACATCTTTTTTCCTGGGTGGGAGTGACTCACAGAGAAAGGGTCATCAGGGCCTTTAGGAAATGAAGGGTCTTTTTCCTGAGTTGAGCCCTGGGACAAGCGAGATAAATCTTTTCAGTTCTCATTTAGGCTGACAGCAGCCTGACTTGTGATGGAGGTTAACAGGGTGGAAAATAATGAAAAAAATGTCTACAGCTGAGCTCCTGGCTGCCTTGTTACCAGGCCTGCGCCTGTGGAACAAAGGAAACAACGCAGCCCACAGGGGCTGGGAGAGAGACAGGGGCAGAGCCCGGCCGGCTGAGTTAGCACAGCACGGCCCCTTTGTGTCGCATTAGTTATATCTAATCTCAGAATGGAGGCCTGCGCTTTACATAACACTAGTTCCTGCAGAGGCTGGTCCCTGGCCACACTGAGGAATGAAAGAGTGGGATCCTAACTCACCCCATTTTACAGATGAGGGGGTAAAGCTTTGTGACCCTGCAAGGGAAACCTAGACTTGGTGGCTTTGGGCCCCTTGTCATCACGAGCAGGAGGCAGGAAGTGCCTGGGCTTTTGGGGTTTGTCTCAGAACTGCCCCTCAGGGACCATCCTGAGCAAGTCTCTCTGAGCCACAGTTTTCTCAACTGGGAAATGGAGATGGTAACAACGCCTACTTCAGAGGGCTGCGGGTAGAGGTAGGTTAAGTGTCCAGCTCAGGCCTGGTATTCAGTAGGTGTTCATTAAATGGCAGCTCACCAGTGATTCTAGGAACAGAGCCGCCTCCTGAGCTGTGCTCACCTGACCTGGGCTGTGATCCTGAGCTGTGATCCCAGCATCAGTGGGTGTTCGCTGCTTACCCTGCCAGTCGCCCTGACAGCAAGGCTGCAGCAAGCAGGAGTGGCCTCCAGGCCAGGTGCCCACCCTGTGCCTGTCTTCAGGCGTGGGCCTGGGCAGCTGCCCCATCTGCCAGCTTCTCACTGATGCCGGCTGCTGTTTGACTCCATTTCCCCCTTTTGCTGTGGAATCTGTACTTAGAGGCAGGACTTCAGAGTCATGAAGCACAGGCACATGGTCTCTGCTTTAAGCGGGAGGTGGGTCAGACATAGGAACATGGAGCTGAACGAGGCCTGAGAGGCCATCTGTAGTGATTGGGACACTTACAGTTGCCAACAACAGAAATCCAGCTCACTGTGCGGTAAGGAGCAAAGGGATCGTACCCTTCAGGCATGGGGTGGGCGTCAGGGGCATAAAGGCTGTTACCAGAACTCAGTCTGCCTGAAACTCCACTTAAGTTTTCTCTGTTTTCCTCTTTATCATAGTTAGTCTCTCCCTGTGTGATGACCAGATGGCCCCCAGCAGCTCCAGGCTCACTCGCTACTGCCCTCAAGTCCCTTTTACCAGAATTGGGTCTTCTAGGCTCTGCTGGACCCAGCCCGGGTCAGGTGAGCACGACTGAGGCTGTGCCTGTGACCAGGGACCTGCAGTGCTCGGCGACCAGGCTGGGAAACATACCCACCCCTGAAGCCAGCACAGCTTCACCTGCCATAGGACTGAGAATAAGTGAGGGGTGGTTCCCCAAGAAAAATTAGGGCGCCCTCACAAGATAAGAGAAATAAAACCATCCATGTCCAGTTGGCTCTCAACTCCAGTTTTTTGGTCATTCTGTACAGTAGCTAGATGGCCCTCAAGTGTACCTGGTTACCTCTCAGGACAACTGTGAGCAATAGAAAATTCTCCGCAGAGCTGAAGTGAAATCTCACAGTGTTTGCTCTCACGGGTTCTGATGACCTCTTGAGGGCTGCATAGATCAGAGCCACACAGAAACCCATCAGTTATGACCGTGCACCCGAATGCTTCCCTGCTGTGGGCAAACGTTTCAGGCCCTTTGGAGTGTTCCCCTGTGACCTGGCTTTGTGTTCTCACCTCACCGTGGTCCCTCTTCCTGGGTCATGCTCCAGATTCCTCTGGCTGGCAGAAGTTAATGGTCGGAACCCCTCAGAATACTCCAGGAAGGTCTGACCAGCTCCGAGTAGAGCAGGGCTATCTAGACCAGACTCTTTATTTCCACCGTGTGGTCTTGTGTGGCGTTTGCTTTTTGATGGCGGTCTTATCACATGATTGACATCCTGAACTCTGTCAGCCAAAGCCCCAGATATTTTTGTTATCAGTTGTTTTTTTTAATCTAGTGTACAAACTCAGCATTTGTGTGTCTTTGTATTTGCTCTTTAAAACTTTATTTTATTCAATTCTTGTCAAATGGGATCAGTGTCCTTATTTAAGTGATTTTTCAAGCAGTACAGCCTAACTTCCTAGAGGTCTTGGTTTCTCCCCTGTGGGAAAAGCCTGTTTTGTAATTGCTTCCCGCCTTCCTCCTCTGTTACCAACTTTCACGTGTCAATTCTTTGGCCTCGTGTTTCTTAGTGGAGAGATGGGGCAGAGAGTTGAGAATTCACGGTGGAGGTGATCCTGGACTTGGGTGCTGAAGGATAAGTAGAAGTCTGCCGAGTGGGGAGAGGAGGTTGGGAGTTCAGGGTCTAGAGAAAGGCAAGAGCATGGGGGTATCATGATGGAGGTCAAAGGCAACTCAGAACAGAGGCTGCAAAATGGCAGTCCGCAACTGAAGTGAGCTCTGAAGTGTAATCTTGTGGCTTTCACTACGTTAAGAAAAATCAAATCAACAATTAAACAGGGAGGCTCCTGTGGCTCAGTGAGTTGGGCGCCAGCCCCATATACCGAGGGTGGCGGGTTCAAACCCAGCCCCGGCCAAACTGCAACAGAAAATAGCTGGGCGTTGTGGCGGGCGCCTGTAGTCCCAGCTACTTGGGAGGCTGAGGCAGAAGAATCGCCTAAGCCCAGGAGTTGGAGGTTGCTGGAGCGACTCCGCTGCACTCTACCAAGGGCGAAAAAGTGAGACTCTGTCTCTACAAAAAAAACAAAAACAAAAACAAAAAACCCCCCAAAAAACCCAATTAAACATTTGAAGATTTCACATAAAACCAGGATTTTGTGTTTCTTTTGCAAAATTAGAAGCTCTGAAAATTCTAGATCCACATGGGCTCATACCTGGCAGTAATCAGGTTGGCTGAGTAGCTGCTAGCCCCACCAGTGGCACCTTCCCTCCCCTGACCCCCTCTCCCTGCTTTTGGGAGTGAGTTACACCTACGGGGCTCCTTTGTTTTAGTCTCTTGGCCCTTTATGCTTTTGAATTTGTGGTCCCATCTTTAAACATGGTGTAACAGTGGCTCTTAAATCCTAGCATGCTTTGGAATCACCTGATGGGCTTATGACATGCAGCCTGCTGGGCCCCAGTCTCACAGTTTCAGTAGGTTTGAGCTGGGGCCTGAGA